AATATCTGAAAACAACATTAATCGAACAAAACCCATATCAAAATGTCAGAGAAATGTCTCAGATAATGGGTATCAGCATTTCAAGAATATTGGAATATCTCAAGAAAATTGGTGAAGAAACTGGATAAATGGGCGCCACATGATGCTGCATCTGTGAAATTCAAATGATCCATTTTTGATTGAATAATGACTTGTAATGAGAAATGGATCTTTTATGACAATTGTAAACGATTGGCTCAATGGTTTGATCATGACAGAGCACCCAAACTCTTTCTAAATTGATATTGTACCAACAAGATTATGGTAACTGTCTGGTGGTCTGCCTTTGGCGTTATCCATGCTCATCCAGTTAAGCAAAATGTGACCGGCGTTGGTTAATCAACAAGATCCAATTCTACTTCCTGACAATTCTTGGCCACATGTTTCCTGAATGACACTGCAGAAGTTCACTGACTTGAGATATGAGAGTTTACCACATCCCAAATACTCCTCTGATCTCTTGCCAACTATCACTTTTTCAAGCATCTTGACAATTTTTTAAGCCCAAAATATGGAGAAACTTCTTTCAAAGAATTCTTGAGATCAAAACCTCTAGAGTCTTATCAGAAAAGCATAACTAACCTTGTAACTCAATGACAGAAATGTACAGGTGTTCAATGTTCCTATTTCAACAAATTTTCTCTCTCTTAGGCTGCCTGTGATTGCTGATGATGACAGTCCTTCCATCTCCACCCGTCTTCTGTGGGCTGCCAAATAAGATAGCAGCCCGATCCATGAAGTTCTTGGGAACAGGTAAGCATGCCTGGTGTGGAATTGGCAGATTACAGATGACGCTAGAGTTGCCTCCCCTTGAGCACACCTTGTCTCTCCTCCTCAAAGTGTGCCACTCCGGCTATTCAGAGAGAATGCCAGCCGATCCGATCCCTTGTGAGGTTTTCTAATTGTTTTGGGTTAATATTGCAGGAGACAAGAGGTAGTCTTAGAAATCGTCTTAAGGTAGTCTCAAAATTATTTCTTTGGGCCTTCACATGGGTGGCTACTAGTTTCGAGCTCTCCGAAGAATACCATTTTTGGGAGGCGATGACCCAACATCTGAGCAACATGTCCTACCCAACGTAGAAGGCGTTGTCGATGATGGCTTTGATGCTGACGATTTCTGCACATTGAAGAATTTCAGTGTGGGGGATTTTATCTCTCTCCGTAACATGCAAGATTTGCTGAAGGCAGCGGATGTGGAATGTCTTAAGCAGTTTTATTTGTCGGCAATACAGGACCCAGCATTCACATGACAACTAATTTAAACACTGTTTAAATACATTAATTCAGGAATCGATTTGATTCAACAACTTAATACTTTGCTTAGTTTCTCGAATGCATCTTTCACTATTCTGATGTACTTTTCAATTTCTGTCATATTTCCATTGTCTGTTAGTACACAACCAGATAGTTAAATCTGCTCCTACCTAATTTTGTCATCCCCTGATAACTTGCAAATTGGGCTGTCTCTTTTGCTAACAACCATATATTATTTCTTATTTTCAGCTTGCGCTCCTTGCTTAATATTTTTTTTGAATGAATGAACTAGCAACAGATTATTATTGGTGTAGTAGTGTATGTTGTTACTGGTACCATCTTCTGATAATAAATCCTGGTAGGTCTTCAAGTTTTTTTACGATCATCTCGTGTAAAATAAATCCGATAAGAAGGCACAACATTGTCATACTCTTCTTCCTATTTTTTGGGCCATCACTAAGCTCGTTCTACATCAACATACAAGCCGTTTGCTTCTAGAAGTTATAGATTATCTGAATATTCTTTCTATGCAGATCAAGGTTTCCTAATATTTGAAAGTGTTCTTCCTGTCATATATTATCAATATTATTTTTTTTTGTTTGTTTAAAAAAACACCCATATTCTTTTGGGATGCAGATGATAATGTCTTCCTTTTCTTTATTACATGTGATTTGCCATGATTTTTTGTGAAAGCTAACAGTGGTTTCTCATTGCTCTCTTCAGTTTTGAATTCTGAGTAGTCCTTATCCTATACTGGCTGCTATCCAAGGTTAGAGAGCTTGGTCTACCCTGATATTTAACCCATATATGGAGGGTAGGAAAGATGGATTCATGCCCTTCCCAAGCACATTATAAAAAAACAAATCTTGTGAAATGTCATAAGGATACAAAAGGAAATGAATGATTTTTTCAAGTGTAAATTATTAATGCTGTGTCCCTTCAGGATGTAGGTGTATATGGCTCTCTACAGCTTCCTCTTTAATTATCTGTTGGGAGAGTGGGATAATTTCCTGTTGCTTTCTTGGTTTTTAATTCAGAGTTGTCCTATTCTTAAGTTGCTAACAAGGCTAGAGAACCCAGTTTACCTTGTTATTTAGCCTATAGCTAGTAGCGTAGAAAAGTTGGGTTCAAGCCTTTCTCAATAGCAAAAACAAAAATGTCAGGTACATATCAAGCTTAACTGAAAATATCAAATTTATACAGAGACATAAGACAATATACATTCAACTGTGTTTAAAAAGAAGCAATCAAGGTGTATAAATAATAATAATATTGCTCAGTTATTGCTTACCTTGTTTCCAATGAGTCCAAGTACACACTGCCTAACCCATGGATTGAACTTAGAATTACTATATACAAGTTGTACTTTTTGTTATTTGGTAGAGGTCTTTGTGATTCTGTAGCACCAGGGATCTGATGAAAGGCCATCTTCTTTCTTTTAAGACTTACAGAAATGTGTTCTTTTATATTTCCAAATTTGAATTCAGACATTTACATTATTTAAATGTGGACTATTGTCCTAATCTTTGTTGCTGTTGTTATGTTTCGGATATTGTACCCTTCAGCCAATATCATGTGTATATTGATCAGAGCAACCTACAGAACTGAACCTTTTATTTAATCTATAAGTAAAAATTGTTCTCATTCCACTGCCCATGTCTAGGGATATCTGTTGCTGTTGTTGGAAGTCTTCAAGTGACGTGCTTTTTGTTATTTGGTAAAGTTCTTTACAATTCTGTAGCACCAGTCTATGAGATCTGATGAAGGACAGTTTTTGAGGATGAATTTGCACGAAGCTAATTTTAATCATTGATCCAAGATAACGGTTGTATATGACATTTCTGAATGTTAGATGCTATACATGACGTCCGTGAGAGTCTAGATATGAATGTTTAAGAACATGAATTTGCTACCTGAAAGAAAATAAAAAATGTCACAAATGCAAAAATTATTTTAAAAAATAAAAAAATAAAACACAAACACTGGTTGTAGAAGAAATAAATTTATTTCTCAATATATCTTTGATAATATGAATTTTATTCATCTTAAATTCATTTTTCTTTTTTTAGTAAATTTTCATTCGATCTTTTATTCTTAATATTCATGTCCTCAACAAATAATTATCCAGCCACAGAAAAACATTTACATCTTAATTTTGGTTATCCAAAAAATTTTAGCTGGAGAAGATTTTTTTTTTTTTATTCTTTCTTTCTTTTGTTGTTTGTTCTTATTTAATTTTTTTTTTCTTTTTCATCATCTGCTGTCCAGGAAATTTGAAAAGAAACAAAAAAACTTATCCATTTCTCAAATCCGTTCCATTAAAACAAACAGATTTTATGTACAAGAGTCACAGAGTGGCAGTCAAAGAAATTAATCTTTTTAAATCTATAATTTTTCTTTATTTTTAAGCAAATTGGCAGGGAAGAAACTAAGGAGTAGGTGGCTGGAGTCACCACTCTGCACTTAGCTAGTTGGGTTATGCCATATTGTGGTATGTATACTTCCCATTCAAACATGGAACCAGCTAACAATCCATTTTATTCTTATCAGACATTTCCATCATACAATCTTATTAAAAAAAAAAAAATATTAAGTCTGGCACAAAGCTATCATAGAGGAGTATTTTAAGATAATTTAGACAAGATTGTTAACCATTCCTCTTGAATATTGTATGATTAATTAAGCAGTTTCTCTCCTATTTAATCCTAACAAAAAAAAAAAAATGACAAAAAATGAATCAACAGGAATTCTTAACCATTCCCTGCAAATACATTTTCAAAAGATATTCTTCAAAATATTTTGAGATACAAAAATGTCTTTTTTCTTATTCCCAGTTTTCTTAAGTTTACCATTTTTATTTTGCTCTTAAAACTATAGAATTCATAATAATTTATAATATTCAAATTCATAAATAGTTTTACAATTTTAGTCTCAATTTGTTTATTTGTTTGCATCTGACATAAGTTTGTGTATGTGTGTGCATTTAGGCAGCAGCTTTTCATTAATGCATGTTTGATTAATTAGCAGGGTAGACAATGAATTCTTTTTTGTAAACATTTGTTTATATGCAAGTGAATGCATGTCTAGATCCAGTGAATGTCAATAATGTACGGATAATTTTGATCAAGTGTTTTCAACCATCCTTCTAGACATTAGCAAGATTTGGGGGGGGGGTTAAATTGTTTATGTATTGTGAAGATATCATGCACAAGAAATTATGATATTAAACATGAGAAGACAAAGAAAATTCTTCACCGAGTTAGGTAGGTTTAAAATCCCAAATGGGAGAAAACCTCATTTTAAAAAATTTTTTTTTCCTTTTTTGTTTCTTGATACCTGAAACCATTATTTTTTTTTAAAGCACAATTAAGGGTCTGATGTTGATCTGAAAGCATAAGATCAAAAATCGCTGAATAAAATTTACATTCATTTTGAACCAGACATTAATTCCCTTGTAAGGGAACAAGAAATGTTTATTAAATTATATATATTTTTAGCTTGTAAGAAATTTTGAGGGGAAGGATAATAAAGATTTATTGATACAAGTCCTACTAATTAACCCATAGTTGGGGGAGAAGAGGTGGATTCATATCTTTTCCAAGGGTACTTGTGCACAAGTAAATATAAAGAACCTGACTGGAACTGGAATTCAGATCTCCAATTAGCAATTCTGAGCCATTATCCATTGCACCACCTGCACATCCAAGCTTACAACAACTGATATTCCCAAGAGGTCACCCATCTTGTTACTGACCAGGCTCGACATTGCTTAACTTCAGTGATCATACGGGAACTTGGCTCTCCGATTAACAATTCCAAGCCATTATCCATTAGACCACCCGCATATCAAAGCTTACAGCAACTGGTATTCCAAAGCAGACACCCATCTAGTTACTGACCAGGCTCGATGTTGCTCAACTTCCTTGATCGTACGGGAACTCGGCTATTTGATTAACAATTCTAAGCTATTATCCATTAGACCACCCGCATATCCAAGTTTACAGCAACTGGTATTCCCAAGAGGTCACCCATTTAGTTACTGACCAGGCTCAACGTTGCTTAACTTATGTGATTGTACGGGAACTTGGCTATCTGATTAACAATTCTAAGCCATTATCCATTGCACCACCTGCACATCCAAGCTTACAGCACCTGGTATTCCCAAGTGGTCACCTAGCTAGGTTGTGACCATACTAAATGTTGCTTAATTTTGGGTATCATACTGGAATCAATGTTTCAATAAGATATGACCTATATTGGTAACGGGGACATATTTCTGACACTGTCACTGTGACAGTCAATTAAACTGTCATCAAAAGACAACCGACATCCAAACTTTTCTTTTGACTTATTAGCCAAGGTTTCGATCAAGAATTTCATTTCTAATAAAGCTCTATTGTCATTTTTAAATGAAGGTTGGTCTGAAGATTTTCCTGACAATGCCCACAGCTTTGATTATGTTAAGTGGATAATTTTAAATTCATTTTAAATAGAGCCTTTGAAACTGACTGAATTAGATAACAATAGCTGTTCATCCGAGACTTCCTCTGTACAATGAAATCTACTTGAAAGAAACGTTGATCTAAAAAGAAGAGGAATACTTTGAAGAACACTGAGGTGTGCAATTGCCACAGGCAGGCTATTTAAACTAGCTGGATACTTTTCGGACAAAACATATCTGCATAAATCCTGGGTAGGTTTTATGAAGCAAGTGCAGAGGAGATTGCTTAATATGATCACATTGAGGCAGCATCTTTTAGATTACAATAAGTGGCTGATGGTATTAAGTAGAAGAAATAAACAATGTAATGTAAATTCACAGCTATGAACAAATTTAGATTATTGTTGTAGCATATCTACAGATGATAATGGGTATGTCCCCATTCACATAAATACTGTATGTTGGTCTGCAGTTGGAGATTCATTGTGGAATTCACTTGACTCACTTGTAGCAGTTGATTACTTCTTCCATGTGCCGCTAGTAAATCTTATATGTGTTGTTCTTGTCCTAAGTATTATTGTCCATTACCAACCTTCGTTTGATTATTCTATTAAGTAACCTTCCCTAGGTTACAACAATTATCAAAAATTAAAATAAAATTTATTGAGTTGAAAGTATTATTTCTTAATTAACTTTATAATTTAAATAAAATTTTGGGGATGATTTTGATAAGTGTTTGATAGCATTATGCAAGATTATAAATTTCTCTTATCAGCTTTGTAAACCTGAATAACATCTGTAACCTTATAAAACAGGTGAGGCTTTGCACAAAGATGTAGTTCTCTCAGAATAAAAAAAAAAAATTTCTTTCGTTCCTTAGCCAAATAACTAATCTCTAAAGAATTTAACTACAAACTTTCTTTCAAAGAAATAAAGGATTCGGTACTAAGATGACCTACAGAGGTTGATGTGCCATTAAAAAAAAAGAACCATCTTTGTAATCTTCATATTTTAAATTCCATTTCAAACCACAAAATAAGGAAACAATATTTTCAGCAGAATTTAATGTTTGCCATTTTATTGCAGAGATAATTAGCTTAATGTTTGGCATTGGTCAAACTAAAATGTTCTTATTTTCATATATGGGAAAAGACAGAGAGTAAGAAAAGGTCTTGTCTCTCTCTCTCTCTATCTCACTCACTCAAAAGCTTACACACCAAAATATGGCATTTTATTAATAAGGAAGAGGTGTTAATACAAACATATTTTCATCCCCTCCAGGAAAAAGATTAAAATATTTTTTTTTTTTAAGTGGTTACAGAGGTCGGCAGACTCTAATGTGAATAGAACTCCACAAGGTTTTCATGGAAAACACAGTTCTATAAAGAACTCTCAGCCACTCGGATCTGTCATGGCGAAAGAAAGAGATGTGGACTGGCTGTGTGACATTTTGACAACGTTTAACTGAAGCAGTTAAAGAATTTTGGAAAGAAAAAGAAAAAAAAGGGAAAAGAAAGCACATACACATACATACATACGTATGTATGTATCTTTTATCACACACACTCTTTCTCTTAAAAATAGAAAAAAAAAATTATTATAGTTATAGAAATACATATACACATGTACAAATTATCCAAAAATTAATCAACCTAAAAAGTTCATTCTTTTCAGAGATTCATTTTTGGACATTGAATTTTACCAATAAAGTCAATTACAAAATAAAAATAAATGTTTCAGACAGAAGAAAAAGGCATACTATATTTAAAATCATTTTTCTTTTCTCACAAATCGTATATATATGTTTCATTGAATAATATAGGCATATTATGTTTATTTATTTTTATACTAATCCTTTCCAGTTTTCTAATCAGTTTTTTGATGTTAAGATAAAATTCATCAAGGAAGGTGCCATAGTTGTTTTTTTTTTTAACTCAAGTACTTTAGAAAAAACCAAAAGTACTTGGGTTAAAAAAAAAAAACCCCAAAAAACTATAGCACCTTCCTTGATGAATTTTATCTTAACATCTAGAAATTGATTAGACAAGTGGGAAGGATTAGTATAAAAATAAGTAGACACAATAACAATATGTCTATAGTATTCACTGAAACATGTTTGAATGGAGATAGGCTAAAAACCTGGATTTTAAATCATCAAAATTTTCTAGCTTCTAGTAGTAGCATTAATTACACCCAACCCAAAGACAGCTGGATAGGTTATAAAATCCTCTTAATTCAAATTCTAATGACTTAAGCAACAGTATATTTGATGGCATTTACATTTAATATTAGTAAAACATATTTTGGATTACTCTTTATAAGTGTGGCAGACCATTCTATTCAATCTACAAGAGTGAAAGACCATTCTATTCAATTTACTTGAGAGATGGCATTTACATTTAATATTAGTAAAACATACTTTGGATTACTCTTTATAAGTATGGCAGACCATCCTATTCAATCTACAAGAGTGAAAGACCATTCTATTCAATTTACTTGAGAGAAAGAAACTCTAGCAGAAAGTCTACACCCTCAGGAATTTATTCCCATTATATAAACCTCACAGAGTAACAATATAAGAATTCTTCTTTAAAGAGTCTTGACTAGGAATACAAGACTTTACCTAAAAACTTCACTCATGCAAACCTGAAGGCAATTCCTTGTATCATCTAAAACTGAGGTGAGAGAACGTGTTGTAAACCAAGATGATGAATGTACAATCAACCTTTTGTACTCAGAAGAAATTCACATTGTAGTTGTGTTTTCTGTTATCATAAAACAGAGTCTAAGAGAGACAATTTAAGATTTGTCTATGAGCTGTAAAATAAACACCCTATGCTATAAAACTGCTTTCAATGAACAACAATTTCCAGAACAAATAGAAATTTTAATGAAAAATATGAACATCCAGGTAAATCAGGCTGTAGTGAGTGAAGGAAGTTAATAACGGTTGATAATTTCCAAACTTTATGATGTTAACCTGTAACACTTTGCATTACTAATATTACTTCTCTTTCTACTGCATTCTTTTTCAAGTTTTCTCAATTGCTGTATCATTATTAAAGTTGTTTCTGTTGCCATAGCGGGATATAACAACACAACTATGAAATTCAATCTCACTATTGTCCAGGGATCAGAGTCACCTGCAATAGCAGGATAAACTTTTTTGTACAGCAAAGGAAGTCACTTACAGAGTGATAAAGGTTCCCACCTTTAAAAAAAATTAAATTTACACTCAACATGTAAATTCCATTTTTGGAAAGAAGAGTTAAAATAGACTATTTAGGAAGTAGATTTTTAATTGAGTGAGAAAATGAGCAATTTTGTTTTCCTTTAATAAGGAATTGACATGTACTTTTGAGAAACTGGAAGACATCTTTTTCTTTTTTTTTCAGATCAAAGATTTGTTTGATAACATCTATGTTGATTTACCAAATTAATTATTGGAATCTCTTAGAAAATCTTGGTGATAAATTATTTGAAATCTAAGAAACAAAACTTGTTTACATCTGAATCTAAGACATCAAAGAAAGAAGCAATTGATTATTTGGATAATAAAGTTTCCAATTTATGGTTGATCTAGCCGTTAAACATTTTCAAAGACATAAAATGGTTGGCTATTCATTTCTGAGTATGGCTGTCTACTTGTGCTTCTTCAGAGCCAATATGTGGTTAAAAAAGCAATGGACCTTAGTTACTGTTTCTGGAATTATCAACTGCTGAACAAGATCAGTACACTGAAGGTCTCCGTCAAGATGACTAGTGACTTTGCACTAGCATAACCATCGACAACTACCAAACAGGTTTTGTCTATCCAATTTGATTCACAAGCATGGGTAAATGGTGGGAGGGTTTGTAAGAAATTATTAACAGTGCCACATGCTGGGATCATCTCTCCAGACTGAGATTATCAAGTAATCACCTAAACTGACAAATTGACCGTAATGTGATTTGAACTCGGATCTCATGGTCAGAAGATTGACATAATAACCATTCATCCATATTTGCATTCAAGACATTTGTGCTTATAATTAATAGGTGCTTTGAACATCTTGCAAAGTTGAACAAAAAAGTCATGAAGATTAACTTTGTTTAGTTTATCAGGTGAGGTATTTTAAATAAATGGTTTGACAATACTATATTTGTCCTATATCGCTGTTCAACCTAATATGTAAAATTTTGCAACTATTATGAGAGGTGGTAAGATTATAACCATTTTGAAATGAGAGTCGTCATATGACAATGGACATGTATTCTTCTAAAATGATGCAATTAATGAATGTATTAATACTGCAAAAATCATTGTCCAAATAAAAACCTTTCATTTCAAAACTACACAATTGTGTTTTTATGAGACCAAGTGTTACAGCATTTCACTTTGTTTTCATTTCTATAAAATGTGTCTGCTCCCAGAATCTATTTGTCAGTTTTTCTTTTTTACAAAACTTGGTTGAAGTTAAAAAAAAAAGTTTTTTTTTTTGCTTACATTTTTCAATAGTTTCATGTCATTCTTTGTAAGTGAGAGTGCCAATTGGAGTTTAATTAATGTATGGTCTCCCTATTTTGCATAAAAACAATTGGGAAAGTAACTGTCAGGAGAAGACCGTTTTAATTTTTAAGGGTGGGTTGGGGGAAAAGGCAAAAACAATTAGCACTGTTCATTGCCTAAGGTAATGCAAACCAGATGGAAGGGGCCAAAGATTAAAACATAATGTGGCCTCCGAGTTGCACACTCAAAGTACATATATTATTTTGGTGAGTTTTCCTATTTGGTACCCTGGCTTAATAAATTTAACTGCAGTACTAAACTGGCAGCTAGTTCTCATGATTTGTTGAAATTGCAAGATGTAACCGTCAATTCTATGTTAACTATTGCCTTTTGCATTTGTGGAATTCTTATTCAGCTCTTTGCTTTCCTGTGAATTACGATCTTCAAAAATTTAAAAGCGACAACAATCATCATCTTTAGTTTCTTTGAATTCTGTTCTTTTATTGTCCTCTCTCCTTAGTAATGTTTTTCTCAGATTCTTTCACTCTCATAACCGCTTGTGTCTTAGTGGCTTTATTACCTTGCTTTGGGGTGAAATGATTAAAGAAGAAAAGAAAAGTAAATATGAAAAACCCAGTTTAAATTAGTATGCCTTTGTGTTGGTAGAAACAAAATTGTAAGAATATTTTTTTCACAACCAATGACATTAGATAAGTTCATCATAAAAAAAAAACAAAACAAAAACAAAAACAAAAACAAAAAAAAAAAAATCAAAATAATACACCTTGCTCAGAACTTTGTCATCCACAGAAAAAGGAACAAAAAAAAACAAACAATAATAATCAAAAGAGGAATGATGCAATGTATCAATAAAAGATAAAAATGTAAAAAGATTTAAATCCTTATTTCATATTTCTTTTCTAATGGAATTTTAAGAGGGGATTGTGGGATATGTCATGAACAAAGATGGTGGAGAAAAGATTTCTCAAAAGGCAGCAGTAAATTTTTGTACACCAAGAGATGAAAAGCTAGTCACTAAAAAGTAAAAAGTTTATTACATTTTTATATTTCTTTTTCTCCCCAGTAATTGAAAACTGTTTTTAAAAAAAAATAAAAAATCATTAGATTTTCTACTTAGGTAACAATGTTCATGTCATCATGAGAGGAGTAGTAATTAGACAGCAGGAGAAAAGCAAGCAAGCCTTTTACAAATATGAAAGATTCTGTAGAAGGAGAAGATAAAATAAAAAAAAAAAAAATAAAAAAATTTGTAAATAAAATCTCATTCACTCCATCTACCAAAAAATACAACTGAATATTAAAAAAATGAAAAAAAATAGAAAGAAAAAAATAGAAAGAAAAATTATATTTTTTTCAAAATTAAGAAAAATTTTCATCAAGTTAAAATATTCTAAATAAGATGTTTATTCTAATGTTTTTTTTTAATAATTTTACTAAAAAGGGGGGGATGAGAGGAAAGGAATTGAGAAGAAAGAGAGAAAGTGAGTGAGAAGAATAGGAGAGAGAAAGAGAGAGAGAGAGAGAGATGCAAAAAGTTTATCAAGCTTGCATATAAAGTTGTTATTTTTACCTTCATAGCCCGAGGGAAATTTTTTATACATTTTCAAGCCATTGTTCAAGGTCTTCGAAACAGGTTTTAAAATTTCTCCTTGTGACATGAGAATTGTGAACAATTTTGTGAGAATTATCTCCAGTTAGATTCATTGTTTTATTTTATTTTTATTTTTTTTTTTAGACAGTCTGAAAATGTATATTTTTCCTATTTATAAAAAAAAAAAAAAAAGTCATTACCAATCATTTTTAGGAAATTCAATTCAATATTATCTCCTCTGAGTATGAACACTTCTTTTATCACCTTCCCTAAAATAGGAAATTAAAAAAAAAAAAACTGAATCTCCATTATGATACCACAGAGGGGAATTAGACAAGAAATTTCAGCTAACTATTTTTTTTTCTTTTTATATATAAATCTTGAAACAAAGGGTTATTTCTCACCATCACCATAGCAGAATCTAATGCTGGAAAATTCTCACAACAAATGGGGCCTGAATCTGGCACTAGAACATTCTCTTGAATGATATATTTTAAATACAGTCATTTCTCACTGAACAATCAAATTCTGTTCCAATGAGCTGGTCGCTAAGTGAGAAATTGTCCCTGACTGCTATTTCAGTTATCATACGCATGTAATAGGGTTGTGCCAATCAGCTATAGGTAACTTTAATGCCCATTTTCTTTTTTCACCATTCCTAATTTATTTCTTAATCTTTATATAGTACACTAGTGTACTGAGCAGTAATGGTAATAAAATTCATAAATCGGCTCAATATTCTTTACATTATTTCAGTTCAGTAAATAGTGTACAAGTAAATTTTTATTTATTTTTCACTTTGATTCATTTCAAACAAAGAGAAAATAATTCCAATCAGATATTTTGCACAACCTACAATAACCAACAGGCTGGAGCTTTAAAATATTTCTTTAACTCTTTGGGGTTTTATAGCTGATCTTAAGTCAGGAAGTAATTAAGACTAAGTTGGGAGAGTGGGGTGTGATTAAACATGCCAGGAGGTAATTAAACAGGTAAGTTGTTAAGTGTGGTATACCTGTATTTATTTTGTCTGACCTCAAAAATTACTGTACAAGCAGCTTCTGAATAAGAAATACCAATTTACTAGTTAGTAAGAACAAATTCAAGACTATTATACCAAATCTGCCATTAGTAAAAACAAATTCAATACCTTTATAGAAATTGAATCCAGAGAATCTTCCGTGCCAGTGGCAAGTTTCCGTACATTTTGAACTTCAGAGCTGCGGATGGATTATCTGATCACATACATAACCTTTGACATTGCCAATTCAATTTCCAATGACAAGCAGTCTCAAGAGATTTTGACAAACTGAGCCAATGCCATTGACAAAACACTCATCAACCTGGCGCTTCGACAGACTTCACCCAAAGACATTAACCACAGAACAATGGATGATATAGAATCTTTTATGTCGGGTCAGTTTACCTTCAAGAAGTTCACAGGTGACAATTCAAGTTTTAGTCAGAGTTGAAAGGTAAATGTAGTGAAATCATATAGGAATTTGCTTGAAGAAATTGGTAATATGAAGTTTTAGAAAAATCAAATGATGCCACAAGAATGAGACTTAATTATTCTGATGATAATCAGACAACCTCAAAGACAAAATGACTATTTTGGCTCAGGAATAACTATACTAGTGGCTAACAAAAGTTGCAATGTAAACAACTATTCAGTGAAACTAGTTGAACCTTAGTTCAAAGACAAATTCTCAGAAACTCCAGTCTACAAAGACAAAAATAACCCTTACAAGATAATGGAAACACAATTGCTTAAGAGAATCAACTAGAATTGGCCAAAGAATAATCTAACTGGCAAAATTTTTGCAACATATTTAAATGGAACATATATATTCATGCCATCATTAAAGATACTGGAAGAATGGTTTGTTCATTGTATCACACTAGAATATAACAATCTTCTGCTGTTATGCTCCATCTTTACAAGAGTCAGATCAAATCAAGAATCGAGTATTGTTGCCATATCCGGGCTAGTACTGCCCAGCCTTGACAGAGTACAAAAATATTTATGCAACCTTGTGGGTGATTAATTATTCTAAACCCTGCACCAATTACCCAACAGACAAAATTTTGCTCACCTCTCACTAATCACTTACTATGGCAAATGTTCAGTCGTTCACAGCTAGGATCAGCTATGCCATGTTCATGGTGGCAAATCATTTCCATTCCTTTCATGATCTTTTGGTAAAATGTAAATTCTACTCAGACAATTTCTTCTTATTTATGGAACAGATTCCTGAGAAGCTGTTTCCCCAATTATAACTTTAATGTCTTCAAAACTAGGGTCAACTGATATCCTCATAATATGCACCTCCTTCCACTGCCTTTACAAGAATCTTCTACCTTGAGTGACCCCTGGGCCATGTATGGGGTGAAGAAGACTGAATAGTCATAAAACTTGTCTAAGAATAAGACAAATTGTGCAAATAAGGAGTGAGGATGCAAGGTTTTGCCGACAATCATGACTGCCAAGAAATTCATTCCTTCATTTGGTTAATATCAGTGGATATGTGGTAAAATGAGATTGACAGGAGAGTCTGTGATAGCCAACAGAACCAAGAAAAGAAACCAACAAAGACAACCCATACAAGAGAAGGAAAACACTTGTCATGGATATTAGTTACGCTTTTTTTCCCTAATTTCCTGTTGTCTTTGCATATCAAAAGAGTATTTCCAAAAATGGCATGACTTTAATTGACTCGATTGTTTGTAAAAAATAAATAAATAAAAATATGGAAAATTTTTCAGGGAAATTATTTTTGTAGATTACCATTCAATTGACATCCTTCAGGTCACAACATTTGGCAGAATCAAAAAATATTAAGTTTTTTATCATTTTTTGAAGAGGGAGACCTGTTCATAATACAAACACAGTGTCAAATCAATCACTGACTTTTTCAAGAGTTATCTGTACTTTGTTTTTATTTACAAATGTTAAATTTGAAACTGTGTTTACATCACTAATAACTGCATACTACTGATGTTGTCCTTTTTCTCAATTCATAATACGATGCAGCTATCAATGACGTAAGCACAGTTTTAATTTTCACATTTGTAAATAAAAACAAAGTACAGATAACTCTTTAAGAATTCCTAGATTGATTTTACACTCCCCTATAATGGTAAGCCATTAGCTACTGGGTGTGACAGAAATACCTCCCGCATTTTAAACTGCCACCTTTGACCTCTTGCAGCTATCAATGACGTAAGCACAGTTTTAATTTTCACATTTGTAAATAAAAACAAAGTACAGATAACTCTTTAAGAATTCCTAGATTGATTTTACACTCCCCTATAATGGTAAGCCATTAGCTACTGGGTGTGACAGAAATACCTCCTCCATTTTTAAACTGCCACCTTTTGACCTCTTGCAGCTATCAATGACGTAAGCACAGTTTTAATTTTCACATTTGTAAATAAAACAAAGTACAGATAACTCTTTAAGAATTCCTAGATTGATTTTACACTCCCTATAATGGTAAGCCATTAGCTACTGGGTGTGACAGAAATACCTCCCGTGCATTTTAAACTGCCACCTTTGACCTCTTGCAGCTATCAATGACGTAAGCACAGTTTTAATTTTCACATTTGTAAATAAAAACAAAGTACAGATAACTCTTTAAGAATTCCTAGATTGATTTTACACTCCCCTATAATGGTAAGCCATTAGCTACTGGGTGTGACAGAAATACCTCCCGCATTTTAAACTGCCACCTTTGACCTCTTAGTGAACCTAGGTAAGTGGCAATGGTGCCTTCATCTTCATTATGTGTGGTTATTTCTCAGGGCTATATCTGGGAGGTATTTTTACTGCACCCCGAATTATAAACAAGGCTTGGCTTCTAAAGTGATCCCAATCAATATTCTTTCTTTCTAGCATAGATAATGGATAACAAGTCTAATGAATGCTAATCTGCAAGAATTATTAAAAAAAATAAGCTTTACCTGTTTCTATTTACTAATGTGCTCATGCTATTGATAACTGCTTACAGAATGGAAAATGTGACACCATCAGCAGTATGCAGCTATCAATGAGATAAGTACAGTTTTAAACATGACATTTGTAAACAGAAATAAAGTACAGACAATTTTTTTAAGAGGTTAGGAATCGATTTGGCACTGTGTTTATATTATGAACAGAACCCCACTTCTAAAACTAAAAAAAAAAAAAAAAAATCAATATTTTTTGATTGTGATAAATGTTTTGGTTTGAGGAAGGTCAAATGAAAACTAATGTACAAAAACTGTTAAAAAAAAAAAAAAAAAAAAAATGACCTATTTTTTATGAGTGGACCATTCAATTTCACTAGTGCCCTAAAAGTTTACCTGATATCTAGTATAATTTTCAAAACTGTCATATTAAAATAAGTTGATTGGATTAAGAAAAAAAAAACGTGAATGCTCATTTGACTTGGAAGAAAGAAAAAACATTGAGGATAAATTTAATAAAAACGGGTAAAAATGATTTTGTCTTTTTTTTTGTTTATATATTATTCAAAATATGTATTTTTGGTCAGATGGATTACATTCATTCCTCTCATGTTGGTATGCACACACAAACACACACACATTTTATATATATATTATATAGAAATATAGTAAACCCTTGATTTAATCAAATAATACAATGAAAAGTGTGTCTGTAAATATCTGTTAAATCCAGAAGTATCCTAGGAGGCAACATTTTTACCATTTTTTTTTTTAAATATATATAAATAAAAAGTAAAAACTTTAATATACAATACTGTAAAAATAAAATTATAACCCCCTTATGCTCTTGATATTAGTTTAAACTGATACCTCTTCCCCGCCCCTATCAGTCAGTTATGTACCATGCGTGATGCACGCTTAAGCAATCATGTATCTTTCGAAACCTGACTGACGAGGCAGATTTTTTCCCACATAAGGTTTCTTTCTGCGGTAAACCAGTTGCCATCCATGGCTATAGAACCTGGTCCTGCTATTTACTCATAGCTGGGGAGAGAAGAGGAGGATTCATACGCGAATGTAATGGATTTGTCTGGAATTTGAACTCGGCTCTCCGATTCCTCAATCCGAGCCGCTATCCATTACTCCACCGTAAAGTTCATATTCACATGAAAACTTGGAAATTTTCCAACATATTTCAGTGAAACTTTTATTTTTCTAAATTACACTTTATAATTATAATAGAGATATATGGCAAAAAAAAGTGTTAGTTTAAGAAATACGTTAGTTTAAACTGATGCCAGGAGTACATGCATTAAACTGACATCCTTTTTTGCCATATATTGCAAGCAATTTGCTTAAAGTTTGTATTTTCTTGATTTCAGCTGAAAGATTGGAATTTTTTCAAAATATTTCAGTGAAATTTTCAGTTTAGATATATGGAAAAAAGACGGTATTAGTTTAAACTGACACCAAGAGAATATGGGCAAAATTATAATCAACAATATTTAATATTACTGACCTTTTTCAGTGGTTCTTACTCATTTTTGGCAGTGACCCAAAATCTTATCTAAAATCTATCATGGAGATCCATTTTTCTCATGAGATTTATTTTAGACAATTAAAAAAAAAAAAAATTGGTTATTAAAAAAAAAAAAAAAAAAAAAAAAAAAAAAAAGAATTTTACAATATTTTGATAATGAATTTCAGATTTAACAGACTTCTTAAAAAAAAAAAAAAAATTCTGTTAAACCCAAAATCTGTTAAATTGAGGGCTTACTGCGCTTGTTTTAAAAGAAAAAATTACAGGCTGAAAAAGAGGGTGATGGGGAGTCAACTGAAACTGATTAAAAGTATACAAATATATTTTGAAACTAAAAATTATGTTTAAAAACTGTTTTAAAAGTTTAATTTTTTTTTGAGTGGGAGTGTAAAGTATGAGCAAGTAACGGAAAAGATATAAAAAGTGGAAAAGAAATTATGAAAAATAGGAAAAAATAGCAGAAAACTATAAATAAATTAAACAGGTAGTAAAAAATCATGAACAAAACATAAGATATAAAAAAAAATTCTTTAAAAATATTTCTCACTAGAAAAAAATTTATATATATATATATATATATATATATATATATATATATATTTATATATATATATTTATGGGCAGCAATTGTTCATTTATACATGTTGTTTGAAGAGAAAAAGTTCTTTAAGATTGTTTTATCTAATTTTTTTTACAGTCTTGAGCCTTTTCCTTGTTTACAGGGAAAATTTGACCATAAATTGTCTGTCTTCTGAGAGCTTACAATGCTTTCATAAACCATTATCAAAGAATTTTATTTTTGCCTTAATAGGGTTGTAGTCATGTGCATGAAGTGTTTCATCTTCATGAGTGCCATGTTGTTGTTTTTTTTCAACAATGTTATCTTCAGAATTTGGTTGAATTCATGTCAGATATTTTCAAATATTGCACCTTCATGACATGCCATTTAATTAAATTATAAATTATGAAGTATATATAGTGTGTCTATTCCTTAATTTAAAGTAAATGTTACTGATTTTGTGTTATTTGTTTTTTTAGAATTAAAACGTCTAGTATCTATAGTCATTTTGTATTGTTTATGTGGTATAGCATATTTGCATTATTAATAAGGATTTGTCCAATTTTTTGTTGTATTTGTTGGTAATACGCAATTCAATTGAGCTATCATTGGATAAATGGCAAGTTAACCAGCATGATAATGCAGTGATTGTGTAATCAATGTATATGGTTTTTGAATTGATATTATTAGAGAGACATTGACAATGATTTATAAAAACCAAAAAATGCTCAAAAGACATGAAACAAGTTATTCTCAAATATTCCCCTGAAATTGTAAAGATGATTCGAACTGTTGAGAAATTAGATAAAAAATTTATACAAAAGACCTTTCATTCATCTTCAACCAACCCTGCATAAATATATATTACACATATACATAGATATCTATATATGTGTGTATGTAAATAAATTTTTCTCCCACCTCAATTATGGGGAGCGCGTTTCCCTTTCATATAAGAGATCCACCTTTCTGCAGTTGTTTTGAATAAGGGATCACTGTCTATCGTCGACATCAGCAAAATCTGATTGATATGTGTAGTGTGGTAGTCCCACCTGGCTCTGTTAGGGGCTATGCCAAGTGTCAGGTGTCGGAGGTCATAAAATGTTCCAGACCCATTGTCAAACAGCAGCAGCATATGCTTCAAAGAATACAACCCAGTGTCGTATAGCATTTTTGCTAGCTGCTTACTTTTACCGATCGCCACTTCCTTCACATCATAGAGTCCAAGTAACGAATAAATGAATCCATTTAAAACAAAACTGCTAGGTTGAGTCGGGTATTCCTCATACCAGGTGTAAGTACCGGCATACTTTGCCATGACACCTCCTTCAGCACTGCTCAGCTGGTAGAGTTTCAAGCCATTAATGGCGGCATTAAGATACATAGGATTCTTTGTCCGAATATAAGCCCTTACAAGCAAAGACATTGCCTGACCTTGGGCCATTGCTGAATACCAGCCGGGCGCAAGCTGAAGTACGTCAAGTCTTCGTGCTACCATGATTGGCCAGCCGCCTCGCTCATCCTGGTGATTGACCAGCCAGTTGGCTGCATCATAAAACTGGTCAAGATGAGCAGTCGAGGAGATAGTAACGTTATCCACTTGTCCGTGCCCGTGAAGGCATATTGATGTTATTCTTATGATGATACTGCGAAGTTTACCCTTTTTCACTTTGGAGTATTGCAGACCCATTCCTTTCTGGAAGTCTATGCCAATGTCACGGGTGAAATGACGCCATGTACGCTGGATGTCTCCAAGGCCGTAGTAGATGTGCTGACCCGATATTGAGATGAGGTTGTCATTGAACACGTAATGGATGTAGTAGACACGGCCTTTTTGTACCTCGAGCGTCACTGTAATGGTTCCATTTGTAATGAAACGGAAGTCAAGAGACAACACAAACGTGTCTTCCTCAACCTCCATACAAATTCCAAATGAACCCAAGGAATCTACAAAGAAAAAATAAAAAATAAAAAAATAAAACTATTATTCGAAATATTAAAACAAATCACTAAGCAGTTGTCACTAATTGTCTGGAGTTTTGCTTTTAGTGGATACAGTTACTAACTGTCAAACCTAGTAGATTGATTGAAGTGTTTGTTTTTTATGGGTTATTAACCCTTTGTGATTGATTTAAAGCTGAAATATATTTCAGATTGTAAGAACAATCATTACTTTTTTTGCAAGTGAATATTGTGTTAAAACTTTTTTTTGAGAATAACAATGATTCTTCTACAATACAACTACCATTTAATCTATAGGTGGGGGAAAGATCGATTCATACCTTTCCCAAGGGTATTTGTGCAGAAGTGAATATAACAAACCCAACTGGGATTTGAACACTACTCTGATTTCTCATTCCAAACCATTATCCATTACACTGCCTGCACATTGTGGAACTCAGTAGAGAAACAATTTTAAAATTCTACATGACATTCCTACCAAAATGCAAGAATAGGTATTCAGTTTGTTTGGATATACCAAAGAGATCTTGTAATGTGCTTCTTTTAAATTAAAAAGTAAAAAAAAAAAAAATCTTGACGTAAGGAAAAAAAAAAAAGTCATATATTGTGCTTGGTAAAATGTACAGTAAGAATGAATATTTTATGCGTCAAATAAATTTTATTAAAGTCTATTGTTATAATTGTTCTATTTTATTATTAGCTAGTGTTGTTATTCTTTTATTGTACCTAATTTATAAATTAAACTTTACATTATGTGTAACTGAAATTAAAACGAATTACAGTTAAAAGGAAGCAACCCTTGAAAGAACAAGAATTATGTCCCTTATTTTGAGGGTGTAATATGCAGTAAATAGAACGAGTCTGTTCATTGATTGAAATTAAGCTCCTAATGTTGATGTTATCCTTACTTATTATAAGCTGCACTTCATGAATTAACAATATTTTTTTTGTTTCGCACACACCATAGCAAAAGCAGAAATCATACACAACTTAGGGAAACGGCAACTAGAGAATGTTAAGAGGCCTGCAGAATGCTAAAATCTTTAAAATTATTTTTACATCCTTCAATTTATTCTAATTAAATGCTTATAGAACATATAAGCTTGTCATATCCTTTCTGTTCCATTAACAGCTAGTTCAAGCCAAATAACTTAGTTGTCCATGTAGCAACATGTGAAAATGGACATTATATGAAATTCAGACATCAATGTAGCAGGATGCATCAGAGGGTTGGATTTGGCTTGATTTGTTTTAAGGCATATCAAAACCTCAATGGGTTATTTAATGCAGACAAGATAGATATACAAACAACAATCTTGGCCAATCTCTGAGACCATGGATAGTGAATGCAAGATCTACAACATCTATGCTGATGATATGCACTTCTAAAGCTCTTGATGATCAGAGATTAGCAGATATAAATTAGATATAAATGTAAGTTCTATGCTAATAGTTCTATTGCATTTCTTGTTTTCCAGTCAACTTTGATGTTCAAAAATTTAAATGCAATGTCAATCGTCTTCATATGTCGTCTTAATTCCTGTTTTTTTATTGACCTCACTCCTTAATAGTGTTTTTTTCCCGCCTCATTCTCTCCCTCAGTAACCCTTTGTGTCTTAGCAGGTTTATTGCTTTATTCAGGATAAAATGACTAGAAAAAAAAAAACAATAAAAAAGACAATTTTATTAACTACTGTTCCATCTTGAAGACATCCAATATTTAATCGACTCTGCCTGGGAACAGTACAAGACTATTTTGTTCAAAATTCATTTAAGTAACAAAAAAACTCCAAGCAAACAAAAATAACCTTCAATAATGTCCATATTGTTGTTCTTTTTTTTTTTTTTTAAATTTAACTTCAAGAGAAAAATCAAAAAATGATTCTCACCAGGTGCTTCGAATTCTACGACTCTACCAACTTCAGGATCTGAAACTACTTTTATGTGCGTTCTTGCAGAGGGCAGACCCCAATCTCGCAAGTCTTCATCATCTCCATCCTCCAAGATGGTTACATCAGGATCCTCCTCTGTCAAAAATTTACTGTAGTGACTCAGTCCAAACTGAGCAATTTGGATCGGATAATGATGACCTTGAGGTCCCCACTGAGTTGATATTGGAACACCTGGAAAAAATGACAAGAAAAATATATTAACATACATTGCAGCAATAACAGCAATAAAAAGAACTAAAAGAATATAATACCAGTCTAACTCAAATATAGGTAACCAAATTATATATACTAATTTGGTACTTTCATTTGGTATTTTCATTTAAAATACATTTATTAGTAAATATACTCAGTTTAAATACAAAAGGAGTCATAAAATGATTTCAAAGGTCTATGTATTTCAACTTATATTTTCCTGTTACCCAATGGTTGTTGCTGGATAGAAAGGGAAATTAGCCTTGGAAACACAGATGTCCATTTAAATTTCACTCAAATTTTGTGTGTGTGCGTATTCTGGTTTCTATGTACGCAAGTATATTTTAATTCGAGAAAAGACTAGTGACATTCCATCATCACCGGGCGGACCCTGAATTTTCACCTATTGCAAAGAACAGGTGTTCTCTCAGGGAGGCCCGATGCCTTGAGCACCAAAAGAAACTCAGACCTCAAGTGGAACTCGTACATATGATCCATCGCTAAAGATGCTGGAAAAATGGTCAGTTCCCTGTACCACTCCAGTAAATACCTGACTCCACCTGCTATCATCTACCTTTAAAAGAGCCGGATCAGGCCAAAAATGGTATACAGCTGCCAAGTCTTGATAAAATCCAAAAGCGTCTGTGTAGGTGATGAATTATTTTCCACCCTACAACCACTTCCCCATAGACAAAACATCACTAACCTCTTGTTGCTTTATCACTATTTCTATGGACTTAGTTTCACTAGTTCTAATGCTCACAGCTAAGACCCACCATGCCACACACTCTCATTCCCTTCATATTCCATTAGTGAGATGTAAGTTCCATTTGAGCAGCTCCTTCCCACAAACTGCTGCTTTGTGGAACTGACTCCCAAGGATGCTTCCCCAATCACTACAATCTTAACCTATTCAAGTCTAGGGTTAACCATTATATTCTCTAGATATTCCCATAAACTCTACCTCTTACCCTGTAACCCTCTACTTTGAGTGGCGCTTTGGCCTTGTATAAGATAAAAACTCATCATAAAAAAAAGTTTTAAAAATATTTCTACAAAATTTTTAAATAATTTATAGTCAAATTTGAAATCAAGGACACATGGCCCAGTGGATAAAGGCGTTGGTTGAATTCAGTGACTTGACCCAAAGAGTTGTGACTTCAGTACTTAGTTACTACAGTGGTGAACAAAAACGTGGAGAGTTGAGTTAAAGGGAGATAACTGAGACATCTGGAAGAGGCATGGCACGTGGAACTAGAATAATCTACCCCCAGCTGACGAAACAAAGGAATCAGTTTGGAATTCCAGTCATCTGAAGAAGGCAGGAGCGTACGACAACCAAAACGTCATAAATATGACAATAAAGATGAGGACAACAGTCCAAACAATGCAAATAATTACAATGCCTCATCGCAGAAATATAGACAAAATCAAATTTAAATACATTTTTTTTACAGTTTAAAAGATTAATTATTTTTTCTGTGTCTCCAACTTTATGATTTTATTTCTCAGTCCAAGGTAGGTGTTGCCCAGGCTGAGTGGGAGGGAATATATTATTCTAATGTCTTATTTTAAAGTCAGTCAAATTGTATGTACATTGTGCAATATACTTGTGTATACGTTAAATGGCACAAGCACATGTAAGTCAATCATGCGCAACACAGACAGACATACATTATATGTGCTACCACCCCGAGTCAGGGTGGACCTGGGAACACCAGCAATTAAGAGGTGGTTCTATGCTCCTCAAAACCTCCTGATTAGAGGACTTGCTGTTGGACATAGTTTATTGTCTTACACAGGATGGTATAATAAAGGTTTCAACCTCTTATATTATTTAAAATTATAATAATAATAATAATAATAATAATAGGTAATATATTTAGCAATGTCTGTATGGCATCAGTATGAAACTGCCTTCACTGGTTAGTGGACAGAACCCATACATGGTGGACTCCTATATCTTTGAGTGATTCACTCAAGTGTAGGATGTATGCATGCTGTCTATATGTCGTGTTTACGACATAAACTGCGATAAAAAAAATATAAAAGAGATAGATATTAATAATGGTATATAATGATTTTTATGCAGGGGTTCCCTGAGATATGAAGACTATTTCAAGGGTGTCACGAGGGTAAAAAGGTTGGAAAACGATGCTGGTCTGTTTTTTAAGCAGTTAAATTATCATCTACTGGCTTAGGTTTTTTCAAGAGTCTGTAAGAAAGGGAACATTCCCTTAGTCGTGTTTAAACCTGTCCCCCCTTATATAGACGAAATCACTATATAGCATTACATGCTTTTCTGACCACTCAGTCATGAAGGACTTCATGGCAATGCAAGGTACAATGAACCATTATGAAAGAAAGCACATGTTATTAAGATCTTTCGAAGACTATAACTGATAACTTTATTTTTGTATCTAAAACATAAACAAAGTCATTTCTAAGGAAATAATAGATTTTTTTTTTTTTATTTATAATCCAAAATTATTTATTATTACATGGATAAGGAGACATATTTGGGGAGACTTCAATATTCTGTGTAAATATTAACAAATATGTGTACATGATAATATTTAATCATGTCTATAGCTTTTTTTTTTCACTTAATTTGTATTCGTTTGAGAAATCACAAAGGATCCAAAATAAGACAAATATTTCTGTAATCTTCTTTGATGCATGTCTTAATTACGAGCATTTAATGAAGTACGTGGGGGGGGGAAGAGAAATATACAAATTTGCATTTCACTATCATAAAATTTGAAGGCCAAATAATAATATAATGAATACTCCCTCTGACCCAGAATATTTGAGACATTTAGTTTATGAAATATACATGCAGATGGCACAACTATTATGGGACAGAGGCAGTAATAATAAATAATACTTTCTGTGTGTGTGTGTGTGTGTGCGTGTGTATATATATATATATATATATATATTTGTTAATTTATTTCAGGAGATATATATATATATATATATATATATATATATATATATATATATATATATATATATATATATATACCAGTCTCCTCAAATAAATTAACTGCTCTGCTCTCATTACAGTACAGTATAAACATCAATATTTAAATTATACAATGGTTAGTTTTCAAACAGCACCTGATGATTGCATTGTGCATAAAACTCAGAGTTGTGATAGTGGTAAAGAAAAAAATAATGTGTATTTATTTCATATATAAGAAAAATATTAATATTGAGTTTCAAAATTATAAATAAAATCTAAATTGAGTTTCAAAATAATAAATAAATTTTTATTAATACGCTGCATGACGAATAAATACATAGTTCTAGATTTGGAAGGCTGTCAGGCGGGAAAAGTAAAATTATATAAAAATTCCAGTCACCCATTTTATTCCAACCACTCTGTTTACGTACATTCAAGGAATTTCACATGAAAAAGGGGAAAACAAATAGAAAAAGAGGATAAAAATATGATCAATAAGTGTGTAGTTGTTCTTCTCTCATTGCATCTTTAATGTTCAGGAAGAAAAAAAAAAGGAAACAATGGATTAACATTGAAATTTAAAAGCAATAAATAAAAATAAAATTAGGTTAATACATTGTATGACTAAAACCGACAAGAATTTGGATTTATAAAACAAAAAAACAAAAAAAGAAGAAGAAGAAAAAGAAGAAGAAGAAAAGAAATTAAATAAATAAATAAAGTAAAAAGTTACAGCCTCCCCCTCTACATTGTTTTTTTTTTTTTTTTATTTCTTTTCAAGTGGTAATCTATAATATATGTAAATACATTTTTATTTTCTGTTGGAGTTTTCTTTTGGTCACTGGCAAGTTTTCTGTTGGTTGTATCAACCAATTGGATTTGTGTGTGTGTGTGTGTGTGTGTGTATTTAGGCAAGAAATGTTCTGTATTTACATTAAAAGAAATGTTCTTTAAGACAAATATTAACTAGCTTAGAACCACCTTTCGGGTGAACTTTAGGCAACTTCCTGCAGAAGTATTTTGGGTCTTTGGCCTTCTTTACTTTTAGTGTTCTATGTACATAAAAGGTACAAGACTTTAGAAATAATAAAATTATTTTATCTTTATATGACATTTTACTTCAGCACAATCTTTCTTCATATACATGAATGATCTTTGTCATTTGTTTCCATTTATTTTGTGCGCAAGTTTTTTTGTTTTTTTTTTATTTCCAAATCATCATTCTTTATGATCCCTTCACATAAAGTCACTCTTAAAAGACATGAGGGAACTAGAAATATATAATATTTTGAATACGTCACATAACGCGTGCTAGAAAGAGAGATCATATGAGCAATATACTGTGCCCTGCTTAAGTTTTAATTATGGTTTAATTAAATGATATCAATTGTAATTGTGACAAAAAGCAAAATTTAAACCTTTAATAAAGAATTGTTTTTGAACCTTTCATTCTGTTCAATATTTAAATTTAACTTTAAATGAGTAGTTTATTTAATATTTAATCACTTAAGGTTGTTTATGATTCACCAAGATTGATAAACAGACAGACAGATGTACATACACTGTGCTTTAATCATACTTATTATAAAACCCAGGTTGTGTGTGTGTGTCTGTTTTGTTTATATATTGGATCGGATTTCCTACATTTTTCAACGGATTTCAACTAAACTTCACAGGACTACGTAAAATTACCTTGCAGTGGTTCTGACAGCGCCAAAAATTGGAAAAACACAATTAATAAAAGGGGGACAACTCATATCGAGTTATACTTATTATAAAACCCAGGTTGTTTGTGAGTGTGTGTCTGTGTTCGTTTTTTGGCAGGTAGTGTTTATTATTGTCTTGCACACTTTTTTTTCTTTATTTTTACATTCAGAATGCTTCAAAAATTCTATTTACAAGACAATTGTTTATAATAAAATTCTATTCAATCGGTAGTCTTATAATGATTGAAAACAATGGTTTTGTTTGAGTTTGACCAATTCTTAAAAAAAAAAAAAAAAAAAAAAAC